CAATAAATGTATTGCCCAATTTTAGATCTTCTTCAAATCTTGTATTGAAATCACGACCGGAGCCTTTACCTTGTGAACTGTTCATGGTTGCAACCTTCAGACTCTTACGAAACAAACAGTTTTTCCTTCCGTTCGATACTTACAATAGTATCTCGGTAATTGTTATGCTCACTGGCTGCTTGTAATTGAATGTAATATCGTATGTAAATGCCTTAGCAAAAACAAGTAATGTTATAATCCATAGAGGTCACACGTATTGGTAATGTTAGGAAAAGTAACTATGAATTATAAATTATGGTAATTTGTACTCTTTTTAAATAAATTTCCTAAATTGGTTTGCTACTTGTTTTGTTAATTTTGTGATACTAACTCAAAATACACATTTTGTTAGTGTCAATAGGAATCTAGTTTAGTTTGTCTCAACTTCCGTTCCTTTATCCTTCTCTCGGAGCTCTAGTAACTCATCCGCCACAGGAATACATGCAGATACTACTTTATATCAGTTAGTGGTAAATAAGTTATCAAGGCTCTTAGATGGACGAAGGACAGAGTGGCTAAAATACATTTTAATAACAAAATGGATGCAATTCGTCAGTTGAGTAGCCTCAGTTTTCCAGTAAAACATGCGATATATAAACAGCCAGTATTAAGGAAACAGATCTTTAATTTTAAATAGATACTATAGTTAATTGTAAGATTATGATAATTTCAAACACAAAACGATATTACAAATGACGTTTATAACAATATTATGATAAATTTGAATGTGGTTTCATTATATGAAGAGTAAATAGGCTCTCAACCTCACTATTATTTACTATCAAAGATCAATTAACATTAGCTGAACATATATTTCCGCGTTGCTTTTTTCTCCTAAATCTACTACAGTTGCAAAATGAGATAAACTGTTCAGTCATGGTCGAAGATATTTGGCTCCGAGACACCAAGGCGAAGGGCGCTGGGCACAGTCCAGTTACATTATATTACGCAATAACAATGCTATTTATACACTTTACTCGTGGTTACGTCCTATTGGCGAAGGGATCCCCTGGCAAGATGTTATCGTATTGTTATGAGCAGATTTGATATTTATAAAAATGTACTTGTGTAACAGACACAAGTACGTTTTGTCTAAATAAGTTTGTTACGAAAGTAGATAGATAATTTATTTATATTACTTACAGCACACAAATTACAATAAAAAACATACACATAATACACAGTAAAATAGATAAAAGAATGTAAATAAAAAAGCAACAAAACAACAAAAAAAAACCAAAATATATAAATATAATTATAGATTATTGTTCCAGCAGAATTGAATGTAGTTAATTTAATAATTAGTCTAATAATCATTATATCAAATGACTTGATTTTGCGGTGTATGAATTTGATTATGCGACTGATGAGAAAGTAAATGATTCCAATTGTAAATGATGTCGGATCCTATTAGTGTAAAGAGTAACCTACTGAGCCTTAACCTCAAGTACACATGTTCTAGAACGCGACACATTAGACTTTTTGTCGACATCATTTTTAGTTTTAGACTACATTCCAAAACTCTTTCATCCGATAGCAAAAAAGTAAACTTATAAAGTTACCTTCACATTTATTTACTAAGGACAAGCAGGTAAATGATGCAATAAACGCAAATAATGAAAACCATTTTCTCACAAACAAAACAATGCAGCATCAAACAAAAGTCCTTCTCACCGATGAAAAGGACAAGTTTAAATGGCCGATGGAGGACTAAACACTAGACAAAGTAATAGCAGTGACGTGGGAACTGCACAGTAGGAAGAGCATTGATGCAAGCAATTTAGTAATCGCAGCGAGGACATGAGACAGCAACAAGCTGTGACAGGTGCAAGGGATATCACGCCCACCCAACGGGACTTGTTTGCAATATTTGTTTTGGTCTAGCTACAATTGTGTTTTATTCGTTTAAAATAGAATCTACAAATACAAACGTGAAGCGTTCACTCGAAATAATGATTAAGTATTTTGGTAATCTTATTTTTTATACTATTAAGGTTTATGATTTATTATACTTTTAAGGATTTCCAAAAGGACAAGGATCTTACTTGTATTTTTTGTTGATTATGAAATAATTTCGGTAACTGGATTTATTTCCGTATTGACCTACCCCATATAAATTGTATCACGAGTGAAATTTTTGTTATTTTTTTTTTCGGAGTACAATCCTTTATTCCGAAGCAAATTGTACTCACTTGTAGATATACAATTCTACGTTCTAAATATAATATTTTCAAATCTTCAAAACATCTGGTTGTACATTGGTATTTTTTTTTATTGAAGTCGGTGATTTTCCATAGTATAATGTACCTCTTCCTGTTCTAGAAGGCCTGGTAATTTATTCACTATTGTCCTGAATACTAAGACCAATATTCGGTTTTATCTTTCGGACAGTAGTATTGTTAGATTGGTCTTCAAAGTTTTCCATACTTGGTATCGAACATCTAATAAGCTTCAATTCGTGTATGTACCATATTTGGTGCATCAATATTGTCAGCAAAAAATACAGTGACGTAAGCGTTAAATACGAGCAGTGCTACAGTGTCCTCACTCGAAGCCTTCGACCTTGCGTCCAGAACAACTTTCAACCCGGAAGCGCGCCGCGCCATTTTGTCACCACTGTGGCTTGACTTTTATTTACTTTAACCTTACCTGGTCATGAGTCAGGGTTAAAAAACAATATGCAACTGCACTGCTGAATCTTACTAGGTTACCTGGAGATCAATGGCCCAAAGGTTATAAGAAGTTTCCCTTGAAAGAATTTTCCATATTTCTTTCAATGATTGCAGATTAATGGTTGTATTATTGAAATGAGTATTTCCCATTCTGAATTTACTGATAGCCACAAATACAAGTATGCAATAAGGATACAGTTATTATTAATTTAGCGTACAAACGGAAGAAATTACTATGTAATTAATTAATTACTACTTAATTTTTTTTTTATTATCTTTTATGATGTATATGTATGTATATTAAGTTTCTCATTTAATTTAGAAAATATGAGGCTTGTAATCGATAGACACAATAATAGAAATCAACTATACCTTTAAACAATTATAAAATTTTCCATATAATAATAGTGAGAACTAAGAATAGAACGAATCGCGTACGGATGAAGTCACCAGTCAACAATGATGGTCTACGCAGACGAGGGATATTTAATTCACAGGCTAAATGTCCCTTTACGTTTATGTCATGTACCTAGGCTTTTAAATTCGAAGAGACAATGCTCGGCGTACATTGTGTAAACGTAGATCATAATTAAACTCCTGAAATCGTATACTCAACATATACGTAATGTGTGAGTACGACAGACTTATTACACAAAAGGAAATTGTATTCGCGGACAAAATATCCCTACTTTTTGTCCCGGTCTGTGAACATATTCCGGTCTCTCGAGACAACGGTAAAAGTTCGTAATAAATGAAAAAATCGTCCAAATACAGCCCGAAGACAGACTGAAGTTATAATGGGAATGTAACCAATCGAAAATTAATTACAAAAAAAAATTAAAAATAAAATGTTTTAATTAATCTTTTCCTTTCCATCTCGAAATATTACGAAAGAAAAACCAAAGAGGGTACTGCGAAAAACCCTAGTCAAACGTTTGATGATTAAAATAGGCCAAAAGGATATGCAGTTGTGACTAGGGTTGCTTGTCAAATTTGAATTTTATTGATAGACTTAGAGAAATGGTGCCTCAGAATCGACTTCTGAAATTTATATTTTAATAATTTATCTTGTACAATGCTTATTATAAATGTGAAAATTAAGTTGTTTGTTCAATTATCAAATTAAAACGTATCAAATTCTGAATTTATTTTGGAATGCACTTTAAAATGCCACTGTTCTCGAAAGAACATTCTACAAGCCAATGATAGCGAAATATGTTAGGTCTATACGAATCCGTCAATGCATTACCAGTATGTCTTTGTACTATATTACATATTTTTGCAAATAAATTTATCTTTAGAAAATTAAGTTGACTTGAAAGAGGGGCCTAAAGTTGGCTGGAAGAAGATGCATGAATTTGTTGCACCGACAAGAGGACAACTCTTAAATGAAAAAAAGAAGAAAAAGGGGGAAGTTTCACTGTCTTTAAAATTGAGAAATTTGAACTTAAAAACAAGATAAAACACTAATAGTCAAAAGAGGTATATATTGACGTTTTTATGTAAAAATTCATTTTTATTGTTTTCGTTGAAAGTGCATGAACATTGCATCGCAAGTGCATTGAGCATAGGTTTTAGGTATCAACCCTACGTTTTATAAATAACAGACCGAATGTACCAAGATTGAAATTGATTGAGTTATTGTTTACTTTAACGATGAATTAGCTGCTTTGCCAGTTTTTAAATAACGACCGACGAGTATCGAATGGGAATTGTAAAATTGAGGCAAATTGGAGGAATCACGAAATAAAAAGTCGTTTTTATTTGGGTACAATTTGACAGCTGATGTATTTATGAGTGTAAACTCATTGTCCATTCGGATCAGATGGCAAGTGGATTGTTGGTTGATGATCAGATCCTCATTTTGGAGAGTTCAATCTTAGTGTACGTGTCATGGTTTCTGTTTTATATCACTTCTGTGAAAGACTTAGAATGATACTAAAGGCCAAGTTCAATGGAATATGCCAAGAAAACATCTTCGATGATGACAAAATTATTTATTTATTTTTATTTATTTATTCATTAGTACAAATATGTGTATATGATTCGGACTTAATGAAGAAGAAGAAATTTCCCAGTCAACCATAGGGAAGTGTCAGAATTTTCCGAATGCGGAGACTACTAATTTCAAAAAAGGGGTGTTTGGGGTTAGCAACGCGCGAGTAATGCCGCTGGTAATGCAGGCGTTTATAGGTTACGGTAACCGCTTACCATCAGGTGGGTCGTATGCTCTTATATACTTTGCCATTCCATTTTTATCCTATTAAAAGTACAAAAATACAAACTTACCAGTAGGATAATTTGTAGAATATTGCTATGCTGGAAGGCTGAGTTGTATTTGAACACATTAGGTGATAACGGCTGTCCCAACACTTTACACCTGTAACAACAATGCACTCAATTGTAGAAAAGTTATAAAAATACATTCAAGGAAAAATAAAAAGTAAATGCTGTCTTTTTAATAGATTTTTTTTACTAAAGTATTCTAAAAGTGTAAAACATGAATAAAATAAAATACGAATCAGTCGAGTTAAAGTTTTTATTTAATTATTGGTTCATTTATTTCCTCTGTTATTTTTTTTTTTTTATTATATACTTCAATCAAAAGCGTTGTGTATTAAAATTTGATTATTAGAAAATACCAGAGGGAGACTTTGTACAAAAGTCGATTGCTTGGCTACCTCTGTCCCATTCGTGTTTCAACCGTGAAGCAGTTGTGTTTGCATGGCTGTGTTTCGGTTTGAAGGGTGGGATATGGCGTGAATTTACTGGGTACAGAGGAATAACATCTGAGTCCTCAGAAATGGCAACTCATGGGGGGGTATCATGGGCGAAACAGTATACTCTGTTATATCCATGGTACTGCTCATGTCTATAGGCGACGGTTACCACTTTCCATCAAGTGGACCGTCAGCTTGTTTGCCATTCTAAGTTGTATAATAAAAAATTGTTTAATTCCGCTACCATTAGTATTTGTGTGACTGCTAACACACGAAGCTTGACCACCACAATTATTACCATAAGTTCCACTACATTCCAAATACATTAATCTTCAACTGCCATAAATGATATGACAGAACAATATGGCATGTCATATGGCACTCACACACATACTAATAATAGCGGAATTAAACAAAATAATTCTGTCCAAATAACCAATGATATGGACTTCCGTAAGATAACACTTGGTTCAGTAAAATATTAAAATGTGGTTTTATTTCAATTAATTAAATTCTGTTATGACAGGTAATAACTCGTAATGAAACAGGCGTGAGAGGGGTGCTACACGCCAACCTGATAGCCTTTGACAAGCAGTGGAACTTGGCTCTCTCTGATGTCCTCGAAATTTGGAAGCGGAAGGCACCGAGGAAGAGGAAAATACCTCCAGGAATGAGTAAGTGAATAATAATATTAATAAATTAAATATTCACAACAACCGCTTAGTCTTTAAGCTAGATATACCCTGTGTTTTTTTTTGTGTATTTTTAGACAAGTGATAGCTAAGGGTACATCTTTTTTTTTTTTATACAACTTAGAATGGCAAACAAGCTAACGGCCCACCTGATGGAAAGTGGTAACCGTCGCTTATAGACATGAGCAGTACCATGGATATAATAGAGTATACTACATCTTAGAATACCTAGATTTAAATCAAGATAGAACATCATTTATACTACTTTATTGCACCAAGAAGATATATATATATATATATATATATATATATATATATATATATATATATATATATATATATATATATATATATATTTTATAACTCCAAACTGGGTTGGAATCATAAAAAATGACTATTCAAAAATGACAATTAAGATTATTTGACTAAAAATATTTTCATTTCTTTATTGTTTCATTCAAAAAGGTATGCCAGCGGCGAAGGGTTCCGCGGCAGCTATTTCTCCAGTGCCTAGAATCACGGAGACGCCATTAGGGAAAGGAATATGGGAGTGCACCAGGCATATTCCCCAGCTGTTCGTTCGTGGAGAACACGTCGTTCTAGTCAATATTGTTGAGCGGTGATGGTATGGTTGATAGGTCAGCGGGCTTTTGACGCAGTTGAATTGAAATCAAATCGGAAGCGACGGCAGAAATTGGAATGTACTACCAACGTACTATTTAGCGTTTACTCGATCGAATTTCTTTTTTTTATTATTATGGATGCAAACTAGCTGAGGGTTCACCAAATGGGAAATGACTACCGTCGCCATGACACTTGCGATGTAACGATTCGATTCCAATTCAGATGAGATCAAAAGACAGGCCACTGAACTAGTTTAAGATATTTTCTGTTTAGAATAACTCGAAAGGTTATTTTAATGAAAAATAATATGTGAAAAATCATTCACATATTGAATTTATTTTGAATCTCCGGTGCCTATATTGTAAATTGTTGTCTAGTAGATTTTTTTTTTATTTTTACTACTTACTTACCTACTATATTAGGTATAATTATGTTTGTGAGCTTTTTAAGCTGAATTAATCATCGTGAAATTTGATATACACTTATGTTTCTTAGAGCGATACATAGTAATTTATTTTGATATTAGTCACACGGTCAAAGTTCAACAGGCACCGCTTGTTTCTCATTCAAATACAAAATGCTGTTAAAAATAAAAAATAAAATATTAGAAATGAAAAATGGCGCCCATACATTTGGGTAGCAGCATTCATTTTTTAACATCATATTTATATTCGACTATAATCCTCTTAGTGACGTTTTATGTTTATATATAATATAATTCAAAATTTATTTCGTTTCGATTTTTTAAAATTTGTTGGGCGCCATTTTCCATTTCACATTTTTCAACATTTTATTTCAATTCAGTAACTTTGGAAATCCTTTTGGGCAACATTATTTTCCAATTTTCTAATATCGGATATATTGAAACTGGGATGAACTGATCGTTTATGTCCTTTTTCATCCCAGTTTCATGGTTCGTTGATTATTTCGTCAAATGGTAACAAACTCATTTTCATATTTATAATATTAGAATAGTATTGGACAGGAAATGTACAGAGGAGAACATGAACGGATAAAGTTTTTTTTTTTCTAAACGTAAGTCCAAATACGTCCCAGTTTTTGTATTGGTTTACCGAAGTCACCAATATTTTGGTGTTTGGTGAATAATTGCTGTGTTGCGAACAGCACTATGCTCTATGATGTTATATATGTATTTATTTAAATAACTTTTTTCACCAAAATAAAGACACAAATGACGGACTAAATGCTAATAACATTCTCTGCCAGTAAACCTTTGTATAACAAGTAAAAATGTATACCAATACATAATAAATAATACGTACATAAATATAAAGGAATATACATATATATACAACTAAATAGATATATAAAATATAAATAAATAAAAGATGAAGATTAGCTCTTATTTTTGTATGTGTAAATGTTGTGAGTTCATTAAGGTGAGCATGTATGTATGTATGTATGACTAATGATAGTTATTATTCCATTATAATTATACTTAATATAAATTCAGAATATTCAAGTGTTGCCATTAAAAAAGTTCACGATTTCAATATACTTACGTAATTGTATGTAAAACAGTATTTTTGTAGCCGTCATAATTGTTTTATTTTTACTTAGTTCCTAGTTATTAATTTGTTTTTTTTTTTGTGTATATTTTTGTTTATTACAATACATAAGTAGTGCATGCATGACTTTTGTTGCTTTAGCTATTACTAGCTACTGTTGATTTTTTTCCACACTGTTAAATATTTTTAAATTAAGTAAATAAGTCTTGTTAATGTTTTATATATTTGAAATATATAGAAACAGCTTACTGCCTTATTTAAGTACGTATTGTACATAATTAAAATGTAGTTTAAGAGAAAAAAATGTATATACATACGTTCGAAATAAAGAAGTTATGACCGATTCTATTGTTGTATGATTTTTATACATTTCCATATTTTCGAAACCAAATTATTAATGACAGACAGTATTAATGAACAATTTGCTCCAAAAAAAAAAATAATGATAATTAGAAAATGATTTCTCAATCTTTCATACTAAATATATATCGTGACCGCATGGTTTGAATGGGAATAAAAAAATTACGTATTTTCAAATTTCGAACTTGTTCTTTGGGAGAAGGTTGTTTAGTATTATGAGTACTATGAGTTTCGGCTTGGTTTCTTTTACGACATTCCCGGTTTTTTTAAATCTTAGTAAATCACTCACATGTTAGAGCGGTAAAGTTTCTATAAATGACATAAACAATGGGTATTACATACATTTCATAGTTTTAACTGCTTGTTCTACGATGCGTCACCACATCAGGTATTGAAACAACGGAAACATAGTACAACGGAGTGATAGTTAAAAGGGTCATCGACTTAATTAGGTCTGTGCAGAGTGTGGGATATAGCGACCGAAGTCATTGGCCTACGGACTGTTTTTCTGAAAATTTCTTCAAATATTTGCTTATAGTAGTAAAATTTTTACCCTAAAATCGCGAAAATAATACCTAATCTGGCAACACTGATTCAAGTTTAACTTCACCAGATTCGAACTCGCTCATTCCACGATCCCGACTACTACGCCGCGGAAATATTCTCTGTTTGACGCATTAACACTTATCGTATACTACCCTCTAGCTAGGTGGGTGTCATTGGAGTACGGCCAGGGGGCGTCGCCCCGAGCGGCCATTGTCTTCTAGCTCCTCTATATATAGGAGTATAATTTATCTCCCAAATTTGCGGAGAAATATATTTCGGCTGTCGATAATAGTTCTAGATAGTCACACCGAGACCTTTGTATTGTAAGAAAGCTGACACTGATCACAATTGGCGATTATTATCAGTTTTAAATACATTTCATATGCGTAGGTTTCAGAAGTAGGAAAATTAATAAAATAGTCTATTTCTAGATAACTTGTTAGGTTAAAATATAGACCAGACTTAAAGTTAGACCTTTAAGAATGCTCCTGTGAACCTCACATCCAGTTAGATGCAGTAGTTTCTGAGTAATGCCGAAACATACAAATAGACAATATTTCTAAAATTTATAGTTGTTGCTGCTATTGTTCTTACTAAGACTACTCACAATTTACGTTAGTTTTCTTAAATATTTCCTATATATAGACATTGATAGATGGTCGCATACAACGCAGTTTCAGAGATGTTTTCTCCCACGAATACTTAGGTTATGGAATGAGCTCCATGCTGAAGTTTTTCCAAGAGACTACAACATGGGGTTCTTCAAAAAAGGGGGTAAAAAGGGTCAGCAACGCACGCATAATACCTCTGGTATCGCAGGCGTTTATAAGCTACGGTAACCGCTTACCATCAAGTGGGCCGTTATATACAATTTTGATTTCACTATAATTTTTTTGCAGTGTACAATTTGCATACGTGTGAAGCGACGAAAGGGTTTGCTGTCGTTTTAGATAAATTTAAAGAAATAACAGTACGGGCCCACGGGACACGGCGGTGCAGCGGCGGCGGCGGCGAGCGGCGAGCGGCGAGCGAGGTCGACGCACGGTCGCCGGCGGTCACGCCCGCCCGCGACCGTGGCACCCCGCATGAAAATGGGAAAACAATTGTTTCGAACAATGCGTGCACCCGCGCTTCCGTGTTGGGGCGCGAGCTTCTCGTGGCACCTTATGTATGGGATAGTTCTACAACCTTACGGTGCTCACTTGAGACTATTAAAGCATCTTTTGCAATGATAATGTACTCGAAAAATATAAGATTTTTTTATTTTATTTTTATACTCATGACTAGTTGGCTAGGTATATAAGTATGTTGTTATGTCCCTCCCACCACTTACCTAGATCACTGTTCAAGATAAAAAAAAATCTTATTTTTTAAGTTACATATTTTCATTAAAATCGATTGAATGGTTTCACGCACGAGAAATTATTGATAGCAACTTCAAAGTCGGCGGTGGATTTTAGTTTTTTTTTTTTATACAACTTTGAATGGCAAACAAGCTGACGGCCCACCTGATGGAAAGTGGTAAGTTTATACTTATATAATTCACATTGACACTATGTACATATGGCGGATTTAACACCGGTATTTAACACCGGAGTTCTCTAGCAGTTAACCATTGGGCAAACAGAGAAATAAGTAAGCGGTTATTGATTAGAGGAAATATAAAGTAATACCTAATATATTCATATATTAACATATAATTAGACTAATATATACATACACATAATGCATTAGATACATAAATAAATACATAAATATTACTATAACAAACAACTGTATTTTACCAGAGGGAGACTTTGTACAAAAGTCGATTACTTGGCTACTTCTGTCCCATTCATGTTTCTACCGTGAAGCAGTCGTGTTTGCATGGCTGTGTTTCGGTTTGAAGGAGGAGGTTATGCTGTGAATTTACTGGGTACAGAGGAATAACACCTGAGTCCTCAGGAATGGCAACGCATGGGGGGTATCATGGGCGAAACAGTATACTCTGTTATGTCCATGGTACTGCTCATGTCTATAGGCGACGGTTACCACTTTTCATCAGGTGGGCAGTCAGCTTGTTTGCCATTCTAAGTTGTATAAAAAATAAAAAAAAAAATTAGAAGAGCAAATGAAATAATGTATAACTCAAACAGAGTAACCAGTAAAAATAAGTTTAAATGGAAAGTGAAAAAAAGGGAAAGATTTTTATAAATCGACCTTTTTCAAAAAATATGACTGCAATATATTTAAAAGCTAGTTAGCTTAGGATCTTATATCAAGCGGGAGTCCGTTCCAGCGTTGCAATTGATATAAGCGAACAACCCCCTTGCTGGCAATGTACCCTATCAGGTCAACCTCCACGCGGTTCCCCATGGAGACCATCGTGGTTAATTCTTGTTGAATTCGTCACGATGGGCTAACTGACCTGATTTCGTCCTCACCTATCACTGGTGCCCCACCAGTGTATACCGATAGCGCAGGCGAGGTCATTATTTCATTTTTCATCCATTAAAAAAAAAAACTGATATAAGCGAGCCTTGGGCCGCCGGCACAGAAACTAACTAACGTTACTGTAGTAAACAGTTAATTGTTAATGCGAGATAAGATAAACAGTTTAGTAATCGCGACTTTCACCGCTCGGTTAGCCGATGCGTTAGTCAGAGGGTGCGTATAAATAGGCAAGATTGCGCAACCGCGGGCGATGCACCGCGCGCTGCGGCCGGCTGCACCGCTTCTCGTGACATCGCAACTCGTGATTAGCGGCTAGTTAATATCCAATGGGCTTGGGGGAAAGGGATTGTTAGTGATGGAGACTGAGAATCAGGTCGACCTCCTCCCGGTTCCCCCTGGAAACTATCATGGTTAATTCCTGATGAATTCATCATGATGGGCTAACTGGCTTTTTTTCATTCTCATCAATCACCCTTTACTGGTGCTCCACCAGCGTATCCCGTTAGCGCAGGCGGGGTTACCATACCATTTTCACCCATAAAAAAATATATATCCAATGGGCGGGTTTTTTTAAGGATGATAATGGAATGATAACCCCGCCTGCGCTATCGGTATACACTGGCGGGACACCAGTGAGGGATGATAGATGAGAATGGAAAGGTAGGTCAGTTAACCCATCGTGACGAATTTAATGATAAATTGTTCACGATGGTTTCCAGGGAGAACCGCGTGAAGGTCGATCTGATAAGGTATATTGATAGCAATGGGGACTAACCTCCCCCAATGGGTGGGGTAGGTTTGTTAATAAATTAAAATAGAGTTAGAACCACAATAGAATATTAGTGTCTTACTCTTTTGAGGGCAATTGAGTTGTGGCCATTTTAAGTTACTATAGCATACGCATGAAAGAAAAAATTGTTACTTGTTTTATATATTTTGCTTTTTTTCTGTATATGCATTCTTTTATATCTTTTTATTGTGTATGTAAATAACGCAAATAAATTATATATATAGATATTTCAGAGTAGACAGTTCGTATATGCTGGCAGATTACCAGTAAAAGTTCGATAGGTGAAAATTAAATCAGGTCGGTTGGCTAATTGTAATGAATTCACCAGGAATTAGATAGATAATTTATTTGCATTATTTATACAAATAACAACAGATATAGGTTTACAAGAATTACTAACAATGTTTTCCAGTGGGATTGCGTGGAGGTATACTATGAACTATTTCCTTTTTTAAGTCCTTTTAAGAAGTTTATATTGATTGTCCAATATGTATTTCAAGGATACTGGAAATAAAAAATTATTAAGAGATTACATATATGCAGAAAACCACTGTGAGCTTTCAGTTTAAAAGATGAAATAGGAAGTACAATCTTAAAAAGAAGACAGCAACGTAGTTCGTAGTAAAAGTAGCGTGCAATGGATATTTGGATAGCATATTGTATTTAAGTGACAGATGTCACAGTATTTAGACAAGTGACATTAAAAAGGGAGAGGTTCTACATTCGTCTGCATATCATCAGATCATGGATCGATAAGATCGAAATTTTAATTGTCTTGAGTGAAGTTTATATTTTACATTGAGAAACATATCTACTTGTGTCAACATTCCTTTCATCAGATGGACCATCAGCTCGCATATGCTCGGTAACATTAAAAAAGCAAACATATGGTTAATAAACACTGCCGTTAATCTCTCCACAATACTTAACTCAATCAAAAACAACTTGTATACATAAAGTGGTTATAAATGTATTGACATTGGTGTCTACATATAAGGCTAACTGGTCGTGCCACTTCCGTCATATATATACGACACGCGAACATACAATATGTTGTTAAATTATGTATATATGTGCCGATCAATGTCGCCCACTATTCTTTTATTTTTCCAGCCTTGATCGTCTGAACTGTTATACATATACTAGTATTAACATATATTACGATTATATTTCATTAATTAAAACATTTCAATGTTATAATAATATCAACAGAAATA